TGCCCATCTATCAGAAGCGTGTATGTAAATTTGATACAGTGATTCGGAAAAACCTTTCGCAACACACACTTTATGCAAATAAATTTTCACATAGCTTCAAAAACGGTGGTAAATAATATTTGAAATACAGGGAACAGGAATGAATAAGTGTTACGGTTATGCACAATGAAAAATAACAAGTAATAAAATTTTATGGCGCTCATAATTACTGTCGGTGCTTTTTGTAAACTCAAATTGAAGCTATAAATATTTCTTGGATGATTTAAAGTTCCCACTATTCACTTTTTATGACTTTTGATTTTTGAAGCATAGATGATCTGACTTATACTATAGTCATAGGTGTTTTCTTTGGATATTTGCGAGGGACGGTAGGACTGACAGACTGTCGTAACGATTACCTGCATAAGCATGATTTTATTTCTGTGCGTACAACAATATGGCGTCATTGTTACATTTCCGTTAAGAACATGGATATTTTTTAAGCAAAATAACCTGTTAGAATGCAGAGGTATGCGTGGGCATTGTAATCTCCAACTATAATACACGGGGTAGCGAGTTGCTCAAATAGATCTTCTAGTTTTGCAATTGCCCTGTTGGTATCTGGGATGTGTGTTACATACGGTAATCTTTATGGGAGCAAATATCTTTACAGCTTACTGCTTGGAGGCACTTTCTGGAACCTGTTCGAATCAGAGTCGCAAGACCACCACATGCCGCCAACGTAATCCGTACGTTCAACACTATACCCTTTAAGGCATAAGGTGACTTTCCTGGAAGCAGAAAGCACAGGTTCTATCTCGTGTATGAACATTTTTATATCCGCATGTAAATATTTACAAACATAGAAGGGAAAAAAAATGTACCTAATATGCTCTACATTATTAGGACAAAAAACATATATAAATATCACAAATAAGTAAAAAGTAAAATATTAGCTGGATTTTCCTTGTCATTAGAGTTCTGTTGGGCACTATTTCGCTATTACTACTTTACTTTTTCGCCCTGTATTTTCGCAACAAAGCGCTTTTTTTTAAAAATCTTCACCGGAATTTTTACCGGATGTACACCCTGCATATTGATAATAGTCCCGTATACAGTGTTATTTGTTACTTATTAAGGATCCTCAGGTCCTTTATAGTTTTGTATTGTCGTCCGTCCGTCAGTCCATGTGCCATCTAACTCTTTTTAAAAGTGGCCGATTCTGTTGAAATTTGGTGTACGGGTACTTTGGACATAAAGGACGGACGCTATTGATTTTCAGGAAGCTGGTTCAACAGGAACAAAAGTTATAAGACTTCGAGTGAATCGGGAACAGGAAAAACTGCGGGCTGAATATAATAGCAATCAACATATATCATTCCGGTCATGTATCGAGCTCGGACTTTCACTAGATTATTCCCTATGACTCAAGATGTGTAACAATTCAATATATCTCTTCTTTGTGGTATAGGTCAAAAGTTTTAAAGCAAAATGTACCCAAAATTATTTTTTACACATGAATTTGGAGTTTAAAAAGTTTTGAAACGTATTATCTTGATGGTGAAAGAGTACATACGTGCACATTTTATACCCGCAAGTGTTTGATTCAAAGATGTTAAATTATTTTTCTGAGGCCACATGGATTGTGATCAAAACATGTCAAAATCGTTATTTATTGCACCAAGATCGTTGGGAAAAAGACCAAGAGCATTATCTCAATAGCCAAAACATGAATTTGATGTATTTTGTAAGATTAAAATAATTATAGTTAAAAGTGATTGTAATACTGAGGATCCTTCGATATTTCGCTGTATCGGTTTATTTATGTTATTTATTGAATTGTGATTGTCTCTTACCAAAAAAATAATAAGTAATAAGTTCAAACGAGTTGCAACTACTGAATCAAAAGCAGACACCATTATGTGTTGGTCTGCAAGAAACACATCTAAAACGTAGATCAAGAAACAACATTAAAAATTTCAATATCAAATCAAAAGCACAGCTGGGCAGTATTCGATTTTGTAAATACTTTTTAGTATTCAAATCCTTTAATTAAAGTATTCAAATACTTTGTAATTAAATACTTTTATGGAAGCAGTATTTGTATTTGTAACTCAAATACTTTCACAAATATTTAGTATTCGAATACTTCGCAAAGTATTTGGATACTTCGTAAAGTATTCGTATACTTCGCAAGGTATTTGAATACTTAACCTTCCTTTTTTTACCAAAAATCGACTACACCAAAATTTCTCGGGAAAACACTTTTTCTTATTAATTTTGGTGCGTAGAATCCAAAACAATTCGTACTTTTTCGATCAGACTTCTCAATCAAAAGTTATAGACTAGAAACCAATTTCGAAAGAAAATTCAAAGGGGCTGTAACTTTTGAACTAGTAGCCCAATCTTGGAACTGTTTGAAATTATGGATTCTACAGGCCACATTCTATAAGAAAATTTTTTTTCCGGGTCGATCTGAGACAATTTTTTTTTTCGGGCCTCAAAAAAAGGCAGTCTATAACCTTCCTTTTTTACCAAAAAAAGGCAGTGTGTATATCCTTCGTTTTTTACCAAAAACGACTACACCAAAATTTATTCAAATATTTGAGAACAATTTAGAAATGTTTAGGGAAAGTTTCCATTGTCACAAAATCAAATAAAGGTCCTGGTAGGTACCTCCTATATAATAATATAATAATAATAATACGCTTTTACTCCCTTTGTATATAACAATAGAAATATAAAAAAGCTAACCCCATGCAAAGTATAACTTGACTATAAGTAACTATAAGTAGTATTAAGCCTTTTATCTATTATACTATTTTAAATTTTTAATGTTTTTGAGTGACAAGTATTTGAATACTTTTTACTGTATTCGAATACTTTTCAAAGTATTCGAATACTGTTTATAGTATTCGAATACCTTTGATTATATTAGAATACTTTTGAAAGTATTCGAATACATTCTAAAGTATTTGAATACTTATTTTTTAAAGTATTTGAATACTTTTCAATGTATCTGTATCTAGTATTCGCTTGTGTAGTATTTAGTACTCAAATACCTTTGATTTGTGTAAAGTATTTACTATTTAGTATTCAAATACTTTTTGAAAGTATTCTGCTCAACTCTGATCAAAAGAAGGATTTCTACTATTCTTCGACTTCGTAATTTGTATTTGGAACGTATATCCCTATTGCAAATTTCAAGGGGTCTGCTTAATTTGAGTTGTATTGCCGCAGTTTGATTATAAGGATTAGGAATATAAGAGCCTTTGGAGGGGTGGCTCTTATACGAAATGGCACTCCTTATAATCAAGCTGCAGCAATACAACTCGAATTAAGTAGGCCCCTTAAGATTTGCAATAGGGATATACTCGTACGTTCCAAATACAAATTACGAGGTCGAAAAAATCGAAAAATTATAAGTCATCGTCCAACACTTATCAGGGAAATTTCTCTTATGTGTTGGTTTTGTCCGTCTGTCGGTGTGTTCCTCATTTAACTCGAGAACGTAAAAGAGACAGCAATGTCAAGCCTTCGCAAATCGATTTCTACGAGTTCAAGGAACAGTGCTATTGAATGAGCCGGATCAAAATTCTGGTTTCCGATTACGAGCGGATAGTATGTAAAACATTCCCCTACTGAAAGTGATATGCGATTACTCCTATCATATTATTCATGTTCAACCCCCACAACGCCGTTTGGGGTTGCTAAAGGCAAAGGACTGTTAAACTTAATCGAAAATACAAACATTTTTTAATGTTTGATCGGAAAAATCTGTACTCTACTTGATATGCTCACTAAATTTACGTACTGGCCTAAAATGGGAGGTGGCGGTTCCCAAAAACTAAGAAACTCAGAAATAACTGTAACTTTTTTGTAGAGCTTTTTAAGCCGCTGTGACTAGTGTATGCGAAAAAAATTTTTTCAAGCCGTTACGGCTCTTTTTAACTTTTGACACCATCAACAACCATGAAGATGGTTACCAAACAATTAATAAAACATTATGATTTCAATTAAGGAAAAAAGAAAAAAGAACTAGTAGGGCTTCTTACACCCCAACAGTATCATATTTTTTATTTTTTGTAGAATTTTTTAGTTGAATGTTATTATTAGATTATACTTATTATTCAGCAACGCTTAATTAATAGATAATAGATACCTGCTACGTAATTAGGGCTGTGCCCTTTGTAGTTTGTAACAATAAATAAATAAATAAGCAATCTGCAGGATATAACTAATAAGATTGTAGATCAATTCTACAAAGTTCTCTAAATTTTCCTCCTATCCTTTCTAGTGACCAAACCTAGGACCAAACATGTAAAAGAATCCAAACTTTTAATTTTAATTCCACCTAATCATGCTCATCGGGACAAGCTGGCATCTATAACCAAATGCTTCGCCCCAGTAGCATTGAAATGAAAGCAACTTGTGCAGTTAGCAACACAACTTCCCCACTTATTAAGATCTTGATCACTTTAAATAAGTTCTCCTCAGTGAATGATATCGACTTTTTTCACGATCCCCTAAATGCAATAATAAATCAAATTAGATCTTAAGTCCTAATGTTTGTTCAGAGCTCCAGTGCCATGTAATTGGAATTTTTATTCTGTATGGTGTCTGGTTAAACAAATGCTGTAAATATTCTACCTACCACTCAGAATGGAAGCAGGCCGTCGCAGTTCAGTGCCGGATAAAGGGGGGGGGGGCAAAAGGGGGCAAGCGCCCCAGGCGGCACTCAATAGGGGTGGCAAAAGTCGGCATGGTTCGTGTAATTTTAATTTGGTAATTTGGGAAGAAGGGCGGCAAAATACCAAATTTGCCCCCGTGCTAAAAACTTCTAGATCCGGCACTGTCGCAGTTCCTATACCAAAGCTGGGAAAAGATCCGTTGCTATTGAAGTAAATGGCCAATGAGAGGTTACAAAATCCTGAGGGTGTTTGAACATCTGCTCGGTGTTTTTTGCGGTAAATGATGCATACTATATGACCTGGAGGCACAGATTATTATTTAAGAAAAAACACGTTTAAATAAAATTTATTCGGGAACCTGCCAAAATTTTTACAACCATGTATAATAGAAGACAGGAAATGGGTGGTCAGAGTGGGTGACAGGTACTCAAACGGGCATGTTTTGGAGAATGAAGTACCGCAGGGGTCAACACTTAGTTGCTCTCTGTTTGGTAATGGCTATATATGTCAACGATTTAATGATTTGCTGTACTTGTGATTTACCTAACACGTAAATTGCAACGATAATGTGGGAATATGTAAGACTATTCCTCAGCGACGCCTATAGCGACGCATTGCACCAATACGTACGATCTCGCACACTTTTCCTCCACGCTATGAGCATCATCAACACATTTTTGTGCCAACTCTGCGTTTAACATATACACCGCTGCCACCATGTTGTTAACACTAAACTTCCCATCAACCAGAAATTTGAGCTTCTCGTGCATGCACTCCAAATAACAATGAAAGAGTTTCTCGTCCGGAAACTGCGATTTACCGAATAAACGATTCGGAATTTCCGGATCAATTTGAGTTTCATTTAAACAAACTTCATGATAAGGTCTCATCATCGCCTTCCAGTGATCCACTACTAACGGTGATAGCTAACAAGTAGATGTAAAAAACAAATGTTAAATAAAAATAATGGTTACACTACCTCCTTTGCTTGTGACATAATACAAACCATCGAAAACGAAACTATTAAATTCAACATAAACTTCATCTTTTTCGAGACTTCAGCAATTTGAAAATGAAGGGAAGTTACTGCTGCTCTTCATTTATAAATGTGATTAAACTACGTCATTGTATATACAGTATTATATTTCAATATGCAAAGTTTCCATATCTATATGCAAACTAGGTTTATTGCGAGATATTCGAAGTTACCGCTTGAGGTCATTTCTGAAATAAAAATGTCAGCCTGCCCGCAGGAGGTGCTTACGAGTACAGATACATATATTTCAGTTCGTTTAAATATTTTCAAACTGCTATCCAGTTTCAATCTGTTGGGTTGTATCTTGGCGGCTAGGTAGACGAAGGTTTACTAGTAATTGGTTAGGTTAGGGGCTTAAGTTCTTCACGAAATGTGTTAAATTTAGCTGACAATATCTTCCATTGTGAACACATTTGCTTCCATGGAAGTTCACTGATAGTTAAAGTTACGGTAAGTGGAAAAACTGACCCATAATGTGATATTTAAAACATTATTTGTCCAGGTTTTTCAAAGTTAGTTAAATACTAATTAATTCGCTTAATTACAGTTGATCATACTCGTTAAACAAGGTAACTTTGTAATTATATCTCATACACTAGGTAGTCATTTATTGTATTCCATAGAGCATTAGATATGCCCATTCATAGGTCAATTAAATCCATATACACAGTCTGTTTCAAATTAAGTTTATTACTAACTTTTTTGGTTGTACAGTTAGAAAGACGGTTAAATGATCAAAATTGAGTATTTTTTCTACTGAACTCAAATCTCCAATGAAAAAAATAAAACAACATCGCATATTTTAGATTATAACAACAAAGTGACTTTTTATATGGAACACCCTGTATTTTACTACATCATGTGGCAGCTTATGAAATTCTCTACAAAAGTTATTAATGCACCATAGCCATACTACTTCAAATAACCAAGATTTTTCAATTGTTTTCATTTCGATCTAGTTATCCATGAAAATGATAAACTGACATTGTTTGTTGTAAAGTTTATTACATCTTCAGTTTATTTCCTAGAAAATATGTCTTTTACACGCCCTGTACAAACAGAAACGAAACACCTTCTATAACATAGATATGTATTTTAACTGATAAGTGACTTATGTCACATCTGCTATTTTTGTTTTGTTATCAACCTACTATAAATAAGTCCTAGTTATTGTTTTAAGTAATTATGTATTTTTATAATTTTCGTGGATAACTAGATGGAAATGGAAATAATTAAAAATCTGGGTTATTTGAAGTATTTTGGCTATGGTACATTACAAACTGTTGCAGATAATTTAATAAACTGTCATATGATGTAATAATATACCGGATGTTCAATATAAACAAGTTGCATTTTTGTTATTATCTGAAAAATGGATGTGGTTTTGTTTGTTTAACTACAGATTTGAGTTCAGTAGAAAAGAATACACAATATAACCGCACCGCTTTTCTGACACTTCAACTAAGAAGGTTAGCAATAGTGCTAACTTAATTTGAAACAGATATGCCTACAAATCTTCCACCTTTATAATAGTTTACAGAACACAAGCTTATTCCTTTAGGACCATGCTTCTAGTTTCAGGTTCAGACTATAATTGTGTCTATTGAACCAACACGTTTCTCAGAAGTTGAAAAAAAATAGTGTGAATGGTTTGAAGATGTTTTTCTTTGTAAACTGTTTGTAATGTATGTAAATGGTGTTTTCGGTTGCAGAGGGATCAAGATGCTAATTAAATGAGCGTTATTTATGACTATTCGTATGAGTAAATGAGTTGAACGCTATTTCAATTAGCAAATTAGATATGCTTAGTCTTGGGGTTCTCATGATAGTCGTGTCTCACGATTACATCTCTATTGGTAATTATTGTTAACATACCACCCATATTGCGATATTGAAATTTGAGAAGTACAATATAATAGTCAATAAAAGTAAATGGCGTTGAAATAATGTGTCATTGTTTAGTTATTTATGACACTGTTTATTTCTTCTGAAAGAAACGTAGGTATATTCTTTTGGTAAGTGGTATTTATGAATTGCCTGAACAATTTCTCTGCACCACCTATATCATTGAATGCTGTACATTGCAATTTCGATATTCAGTTCAATATCAGAGCAATATATTATAATTATATACAAAAAATACAAGTTGGAAACTGTTGTGAGACGTGATTGATGGGGATGTAGGTAGTATCAAATTAAATGGATAAGAGTATGTAAACACATTGTCAGCCAAAGTACAGTGGATCGATGAAAATTTTTCGTATCGTTCTCCATTTATGCAAAAATAACTATTTGAGAATGTCAGTTTGGTGAGAATTGAAATAACTTCCATACTATGTACATATACATGTATAGCTGTGGCTGGTATAATGGATACCTATCCAACAAGTTTAAACGACCTTAACGAGTCATAAGTGGCATGAAAATTAACTATTATTACCCATTTTCAAGACGATTTACTTTTATTACCCATTATATTGCTTGTTTGAGTCTTTAAATTACCCTTTAATATAGTAAACTAAAATTTCCAACCATATTTCCATAGAAATTTGCTTCTTAATCTGGGAAAGTACTGCAAGTGCGCATTTACAAGTCTTATCTTCATCTATCTTCCTTGCCGTGTAAAACAAAAATAAATCTCCGATACCAATGTGTGCTGTTTTGCTTGAACCCAATGACAAATCTAAAGAAATATTTAAAATCGATCGATTTCACTGGGTCCGCGACGAAAATCTGCAGACATCTACCTAATAAAAGAGCTCCCGGCCCACATCTAATAACAAAAGCCGTTCTTAAAAACCTCCTACCTAAATGCTATAGCCTTTTTTTTTGGCTTATTTTAATAATGACAAGAAATGCCAGCAGCTCAATCTTAATACTCAGAGTCGTGGGCAAGGGGTCGGTACTTTGTTGATAAAATAAATTTACAGATGTAATTATATTATTATAGGGCGCCACTTAATTTTTAAAAAAACTAAGAAAAACTTTCAGAGCTGAATAATAAGTATAGAGAGACTCGAGTCAAAAATTGACAATATAGATTTACGTACCTACACACACAATAATATTATCTACATTACGCTATACACAAAAAGATATTTTGGTAGTTAATACCAAACGACAAGTATTTTTTTTTCTTTTTAAATAATTATCTCACACACCAACATTCATACACGCATTCATACATTATTACCCAAATTCGATATCTCTGATAGAGCGATGCGGTCGCCAGATGACCGTTGATTCTAAATGGCAGTTTACAGATGCCTCACTGCATTCGATGGCTCGAACTGAATTACAAAAATGGCTCTTGAATCCAAGCAATCCTTTTATACTGCTTCTTTGCAGCGCAGTACGGTTGCAAAATAGAATTGGATATACCTCTACGGCCTTCTCCTTAACTGAATGTAATTCGCCAAACGGAACACAAAATGATAACAGGATTTTTAATTTCCAATATCTTAAGTAGAAAAAAAAACGGAATACCACATTAGCTAAGGAATTGTACGAAGAAAAAAGCTTACCTCTGATTGAGGTTTTTTTTTTGTTTGATAACCAATTACAGCAATGCCAAATTATCAACAACAAGCTTAATTAGCTTGCCTTTACAAAAATCACTTCCTTAATTTTTAAGATCGAAGCTTTCTCTTCAATGGCTTCTATCAGATAGCCCAACTCAATTCCTTCGCTGGTATGGTTTTTCCGCGATAACAGTTTAAACAGAATAAAATTAAAATTCGGCTATTGTGGTGCCATCTCAATGAAATCAATCGAATACATACGAATACGATTCCTTTACCGCCAATCCCGATTTTCCACAGAAGCGGAAATTTTGAAATGCTACAATGCTTAGCATACCTCGTCTCACTATTCAATACCCTGCCTAACTATTGGATATTTTCCTAACAAATGGAAACGTGCACGTTGAGCATTTCCCGGAAAATGTAAAAACAACGTTTTATTATTTCGCCCTATAAGCCTCCGCTATACTCTATCGACACTGACAAAATTATCTCCAATATCCCAACACTCCATACTTCCACAGTTCCACCATTCCATGACTGCAAACCCAAATATTCAATAGTACAGCAGCTTCTCAGAATCAACGAAACTATCACCAAAGACAAAGAATATACTACCGTATTGTTCCTTGATGTTCTTCAAGCTTTTGACAGAGTCGGGCACAACGGCCTCCTCCACAAAATGAAGAACGCTTCCAAGTAAAGCAAATGCAGACACTTCAGAAACCAAGGACATTAAATCGGGGGTCCCTCAAGGATCCTTTCTCGGTCCATCGTTGTTTAATCTAGCTATGGATGATATTTCTCATCATCAACACTCCAAAGAGCAACAGAAGAACTCAAGAACTGGTTCAACAGGTGGACCGTCACCTTAAACCCCACAAAATGTATTGCTAAAATCGTTACCCTCAGAAGGTACAACAATCCAAATCCGATCGTCATAAATGTAGGTAAATCCAATTTCATGGAACCCAACAGACCTGGGCGTAAACCTGGACCAAAGGTTGACTCCTCCTTCCTTAGTCTTTTATTTCAATGGTTGCAACTTGCAATTTGAAAAACTGAAGTTTTTGACATTTTTTGATTGATAACTTTGAAAAATCACAGCTGCTTTGGAAACTTTTCCCAGACTTTCGGCGGCCACTCAATTGGACTTTAAAGATTTGAGTAATAAATAGGACGATCACTTATGTTAAACGGTTTAAGAGATATGAATTTTTGAATGGACCCTTGCATCATCAAATTTTTCGAGAAAAATTGACGTATGTCAGAAACTATGACAGATAGGTAGGTACTTAAATTTTAATTGCGTTGAATGCAGAATAAACTAACGCATTTACAAGAAAATAGAAAATGCTATGTTTCTATTTAAAAAAACAAAATGTGCCCACTTCCGGTATTTATGGAAAGAGCGCTAGAATAAATTAACGCATTTAGAAGAAAATAGAAAATGCTATATTTCTATTTAAAAAAACCAAGGTGGCACCATTTCCGGTATTTATGGAAGGAGCGCCATCTTGAAATTATGTTATATTTCAATTCGCAATGGCGGCTATGGCCCTAAACCAAACTTCAAGTCTATTTCAACTGCAAGTTTAAAAACTTCTAACGAACGGACTAGATGGATCACCTTGTATGAATAAAATGTGAAGCAACTATACATTAATTAGATTAAATAGGGTTAGGTGCCCGGTACCTAGATACTATGTATTAATAAAAATATATTTACTGCGGAGGAAATTTTTTTATCCAATTCGATAACTCGTCGTAAACCTAGTCGTAAACTTTCTATGACATGTCACATCTTCGACCTATTGCAACAAAATGGGCAATACCACCAAGAACTGTCGGTGATTTGTATTATATTGGATAAGCCTAATTTAAGGAAAACAAAAATGAAAAAGAGGTTTTCGCCTTAAGGGGAGTGACTTTATCCCATTTTCCATGAATTGAACAGTACTTGCCGAAAAGTCACATAACGGACTATTTATATGTACAGGAAAATATGTTAAGCCATAAATATTTTTATAAATAAGAAACTTAGCATTGCGCACATGTGATTTTTACAATATGAGATATGCTTGTCTTTGCTAGAAGCATTTGTGACTAAAATTTAAAAAAAATATCGTTATAAATAAGAAAGCTGACATTGCGCAGTTTGTGCATGAGCAAATTAATCCGTTGGTATTATACTTAAACGACACTTAGGGAATAAATCGAACACCGAATCCAAAATAGCATCAAACTCGCAGGTCCAGGTCCAGGTTTTACCCATACTCCACTTTTATTTTCTGATATTTGTTGTAATCAATTTTACTGTTCAAATAATATATAGATTTTTATGATTATTAGGTCGGTATGTGCATAAATTAACTACTACATTTACGTATAGTACATCCTGATAAAATGACATTTCGTTACGTATATATAACTGTGAACAAAAAAAATGGTAGTTAGGGTTTTGTTATTTATAAAATAGCAATTTCCTTTATATCACCATTGAATTTAATAGTTATAAATTCAATGATATCACTCATAATGCATCCTTACCGTGGTATAATAAACAACCTTACTCATATTCAATTAACAAACTTCAACATTTATTTTTTGTTTTGTTTTAATTATATCTTCCAAAAGACGTCTTTATCTTAAAAACAAAAATATTGGTGAGAAAGTTTATACTTTAAACTGTAAAAGTTACAACACTCGCTAACCTATTGTCTTGGTTTAGGGAGGATTAGGTATACCTTTATAAATAGCTATACCTATAGGTCTAGTTGTTCATCTTAGCTCACATCTGTGTAAACCACACATTGCGCCATAAAGAAGGCTCTTTCGCAAGGATTGGTTTCACGATATGCTTTTTCCACACAACTTTTCGCCAATTCGGGGGTGAGAGCATATACCCCTTTCACCATCTGATCCACATTAAATTGTCCATCGATGGAAAAGTTTAAGTACTCTTGAAGACATTTTATGTAACATTTAAAATGTTCATCGTTTGGCAGATGAGAATCTTCAAATATTCTGTCGGCAACGCTAGGTTGTACTTTAGTTTCATTTATGCAAACGTCATGGAAAGGTGAAACCATCTGTTCCCAACGATCTTTCATAACCGAAGGTACCTACAATGACACAAGTACTTACAACCGATGCTTTCCATTTTTCGCTACTTACCTTTTTTAATTGCACTTGTATAACACAACACATTAAAAGTACAACCGCTACCTTCATCTTTTTGAGTTTAGCCAGACCGACCGACATATTTTGTAAAGTAAAGCCCGTTCAGTGTAGACCTTCTTATAGTGGATTCATTATTACCGAATTATAAAAAACACTTTAACAAAACCCTATTTGTGTAGAAATTGACTTTTTTCATATTGCATATGTAACTTTTTACATATTTCCCGTCATATGTGTGTGTTAATAATCCCACACTTTAGGGTAATTTGTGATCTTAATTTTTTTATTAGCAGATAAATTTTTGGGAAAGGTACAGTAAATTTGCCTAACAATCTCTTTCAATTGAGCATAGCAACCATTCTATCCACTTAAACTTCGGCATAATGTATGGTTATAATGTAATTATTACTTCTTGCTTACGACTTATCGCGGGTTTCTATGCTCAATTGAAAGAGATTGTTAGGCAAATTTACGAACCTTTTCCCAAAAATTTATCTGCTAATGAAAAAATTAAGATCACGAATTAGGTACTCTAAAGTGTGGGATTATTAACACACACACATATGACGGGAAATAAGTAAAAAGTTACATTTGCAAGACGAAAAAAGCTAATTCCTACACAAATAGTGTTTTGTTAAAGTGTTTTTTTTATAATCTATAAGGTCTGCACTGAGCGAACTTTACAGTAAATATGTCACTCGGTCTTGCTAAACTCAAAAAGATGAAGCTAGTAGGCGTACTTTTAATATGTTGTGTTATACAAGTGCAAATAATTAGGGTAAGTGGTCAAAAATCGCAGGAATAGATTGTAAGTAGGTACCTGTCTCAATTTAGGTACCGTCGGTAGTGAAAGATCGTTTAGACCAGATGGTCTCACCTTTCCATGACGTTCGCATACATGAAACTCAATGGAACCTAATGTTGCCAACAGAATATTTCAAGATTCTCATTTGTCAAACGACGAACATTTAAAATGTTACATAAAACGTCTTCAAAAGTACTTCAATCAATGGACAATTTAATTTATTTATTGTCCCTCTTGTTCTGGGCCCTCAACAGGCTTTCGCCAAATTACAGAGTTACCCGCGTAATGCCTTTTAGAGGTGCCCCTGCAGAAGTTGTTCTATACTACTCCGGTATTTTAACCTTACGAATTAAGAAAACTGCAGGAAAACCTAATTCGGTGTAGCCGGCAGAATGCTCGAAACTGATCTAAGGAAAATCCCATCTCTGCCGCAGATGAAAAATTCACCTCTCTTCAGCTTCGAACACCCGACCTCCCGGCTATGTAGCCCAATGCTCTACCACTGAGCCATACAGTCGGTTGTAGATGTAGATCAAATGGTGAAGGACGCATATGCTTTCTCCGTGGTGCAATGTATCGTTTACATGAACAGAGAAGGGCCTTTGGAAGATGATAAACAGAGGAAAGGAGAAACAGGACAATACAAAACAAATAGAGGACCGAAAGCAGTACTTTAATAAGGTACCTACTACAAGAGAAGCAAAGAAAGAGAAAGTGATAGAAGTACGAAGAGAGGAGGCGAAAGGAGATTTTCAAGAGATGTGAGCAGCAATTAAAGAGGCTGAAAAAGCGAAAAGCGGCGGAAAAGGATGAAATAATAAATGAAGCTTGGATTTAGGCCACAGATAGTTTCAAAGAGAAGCTGATGAAACTAATAAACAAGATATGGAAAGGATCGAAGAATGGAAAGAGGGGGAAATAGTGCCGATTCACAAACGAGGTGATAAAGACTATGGAAAATGATAGAGGAATCAAGATAATGGGAACGGCGTACAGAATGTATGCGGCGGTAATGAATGAAAGGTTGGAAAGAGAAATAGAAGAGAAGAGGTTCTTAAAGACGCAAATGGGATTCAGAAAAGAGATCGTACTACACATAATGGTTGAAAAAGAATTGGAGAAAAAAGGGCGGAAAGGTGATAGCGTTTTTCATGGATTTAGAGACTGCAATTGACAGAGTGGAAAAGGAACAATTGTGGAAGATGGGAAAATAGACAATAGGCGAAAGGGAATTATATGGATTATACACAAGAATGAGGGCAGGAGAGAATCGGAAACGTAAAGGACTGAGATAGGGGTGTTATTTCCATTTAATACAGCATATGGAGAAAATATTAAGACAAAGTCAAAGTGTAGGATTCGTGGTGAGAAGAAAGAAGACATGGACCCTGGCATACGCTGATGACATAGTAATAATGGCAACAGAGGAAAAAAAGGTTGGAGAGGTACTGAGAAAAACCGGAATTGGAATTAAATGCCGAAAAATAGAGGAGGATGATAATATTTGCGAAGGGGAGAGGAAGGAAAAGTAGATGGGGGTAGAATGGAATTGGAAGAAGGGAAAGGGCAGAGGAAGTAAAAAGAATTTAAATACTTAGGGCACGAGATAGATGCAACGAAATAATGGGACAATGCTCAAATAAGGGATCTAAAAAACAAGGGGAAGCGGCGCTTCATTTTTGATGCAGTGGTGAGAGGAGTACTGATAATAATAATAATAGAGATTTATTGCCCAACAGAACAGAATATTCCAATTACATTGAATTGATAGATAAGAGAAAAAGAAGAATGAAACACAAGAAAACCTCAAAATCATACCTCTTACATAACTAAACAACAATAATATAATTAAATTCATATCTAAAAAAACAAAATTAAAATGTAGACAAAATGTAAATTACATTATATGCGTGAAATAAAAAAGAGCAGGTACAATATGACATTGTCACAGCGATATACATGGTGTTTATTAAACATGCGTCAAAAATGTAAAGGACTATTCCTTGGACTATTCTAAGGATATTTTGTCCTTCGATGATTTTTGATAGGGCGCTTTGATTTATTTTGAGAAATCGGATAATTGCTGGGTGTAACGCAATCAGAAACGATCCTGGTGATTGAAAGAGTTCGAGAGTCGATGAGGAGAGATGGATTCTGGCATCCGAGCGGGGGGTAGTCATTTTGAACAGTGTTTTTTTTTTGGTAATAAATTGTTATTGTCGAAATTCTTTTTCGCCCCGTATCTTCAAAACAAAGCGCCCTATCAAAAAGCATCGAATGTGGCCTGTAGAATCCATAATTTCAAACAGTTCCAAGAATGGGCTACTAGATCAAAAGTTACAGCCCTTTGAATTTTCTTTCGAAATTGGTTTCTAGTCTATAACTTTTGATTGAGAAGTCTGACCGAAAAAGTACGAATTGTTTTGGATTCTACGCACCAAAATTAATAAGAAAAAGTGTTTCCCCGAGGAATTTTGGTGCAGTCGATTTTTGGTTAAAAAGGAAAGTTATACACTGCCTTTTTTTGAGGCCCGAAAAAAAAATTGTCTCAGATCGACCCGGAAAAAAAATTTTCTTATAGAATGTGGCCTGTAGAATCCATAATTCAGTTCCAAGAATGGGCTACTAGATCAAAAGTTACAGCCCTTTGAATTTTCTTTCGAAATTGGTTTCTAGTCTATAACTTTTGATTGAGAAGTCTGATCGAAAAAGTACGAATTGTTTGGATTCTACGCACCAAAATTAATAAGAAAAAGTGTTTTCCCGAGAAATTTTGGTGCAGTCGATTTTTGGTACAAANAAATCATCGAAGGACAAAATATCCTTAGAATAGTCCAAGGAATATAGCCCATTAAATTTTTGCCGCATGTTTAATAAACACCCTGTATAACTTTGAAGCACGGATGTATGGAACGAAAATATGTAGGTGGAAGGAAAGGGATGAACTAACATGAATACAAAGAAAGTACTGGGTCTAAACGGAAGGACACCAAATTACATATTAGATGAGGCAACAAAAATGGAGAAGTTAAGGATAGCGTTGGGACGCAGAGCGGTAAGATTCGAAGAAAGGGACTGAAAGAAAATGCAAATTACTGCAAGAATGCTTGACAACACAAAAGGCAATTGGGAGGAATAAGGAAAAAAATATGATAGAAATGTATACAAGTGGACCCAGGTCGAAAGGAGGATGGAAGGACTTACAGGTGCAGCAACAGAGAACAAAAATCGACAGCTCACGAGGAAACAGTAAGTACAAGGAGCTGATAAGGCAGTGGTTACCGAAATACCTAAGGAAGGGAAGAAAAAGTATCTAGATAGGTTTAGGTGCGGAGAGGAGGTGAGAGGAAAGGAGAAGTGGAGAAAAGAAGACACTAAATGCAGAATTTAGGGAGAGAAAGAGGAAGATAATATAAAGCACATGCTATGGAAATGTAAAGATGTAAAAAAGCAAGCGAAAGTAGGAGTGCAGTACTGGAATGAGGATGATTTATAGAAAGAAACGGATGAAACACATACATTTTATTTAGTTGATGTATTGTAAAAAGTTTTTGCCAAATGGCGTTAATAAAGATTTTTTTTGACTTCTTGTCTGTGAATTTTGGATGAGATTAAAGGGGCCCAGGGGCACGTAATGGATTAGAAATTGTCTGTCAAAACATTTTTAATACGGCATAATACCATTGATGACCAAGTTATGCTCTACATCTTCCCGCATTCCCGTTTCCCTGGCACAATAATAGCACATATATGTGGTTGGCAAGCGATTTTCTTGGTCATGGAGGCATTTTAGTAGTTTCTGTGAATCTCTAAAAATTTTGGGCATAAACCTGCACAAACGTTCAGTCTTTAGCTGATGAGGTGTCATTGTGTCAAAAGTTGTGTTGGCCAATTACGTACTAAGCGTTACAGAACGACCTCTGCTAACCCAGCTTGTGATGAACAAGATAAGGGAGTCCTTTGAGAACTTCCATCACAAAACATGCGTGGTAAGTTGTTCCTGGAGATGGTAAAGTGGTAAGGTATCGATTTTGGATTCCAAAAGAATGTTTGTGGGATAATCCCAAAAAGTTTTACACTAACTTTTGTCTTAATTAAACTAAATGAAACGGCGATCCAAAACTATAGTCTAGAGATCCGGGTGAAAAAATGCAACTTCTTGTGTACGCGAGTCCTTCGATGTGTTGTCTAACCCAAAGGTGTTTCAATTTAATCACCGATAATCTTATAAGCACGTTGATCTCGCTGTTTACTTTCATATAAAAGACATTCACCTTAACGCATGCGCCTTTTCCGATTTAGGTAAAAGGAACTCGACTTCTTCAAATGTTAGTTCTTCTACAGGTGTAGAATTGAAAAGAAAATAACAGCCGATTATTTTCCTGAAAATTGATCGGCATGGAGATCGCGAAGTAATTTTTAGAAAATACAGGAATATGCTGTTTAAATAGCTGTGAAGTGCCCTTAATTTTTAATTAGTGCAGTGTAGTTTAGTTAAAGAATTTTAAAAATTAGGGTAAGTTTTATTTAATTTAATTTTAATTTAACTATTTTTCAAAAATTGTTTATAATAAACAGGTTGCCCGCTTATTCGTGCGTTGAAATCTCCCAAGTGAAAGGTTGTGAAAGTGCGGCAAAAATGCAACTATTTTTATTACGCTTCGTAAAATAGTTTAGGTAAATTAAAGAGTTTGTAATAATGCCCCAAAAGAACTTTACGATCGTATTTTTTCTCATAGTCACACGCAACTCGCATAATTACGTTACGAAAGCTGCTTAGCATGCCGCCGTCTTACGCTTGAAGCTACATGAAAACCTTAAAAATAAGTGATATTTCTATCAAAATTGACCTTCCATTTCGTTAATGTAGGTCTTTAAGACAATGATAATTTAAGAAACCTTTTATTACTTGGGCTTCCGTTATAACAATAGGAGCGCATAAATATTTATAGATGAGTAACTTTTATTACGCTAAGTTCAGTTATATCGGAAGTTCTTAATGAATTGTCGGCCACCGACAGCGTTTTAACTTTTAACCGGATATAAAGTAGCTGCAAAGCTCACCGCCTTGATCCAATAACTCATTATGAAATTTTAAGTGCTTCTAATTGCGCACGGAGAAAATTCGTTTTTAATTACGTTGTAGTAGGTAATTGGGAATCACATATTGATTCTCTAATTAAAATAGAAACGTCACTTCGATTGTGTACCGTTCATTCGAATCTGTTGCAATGAAGTTCAATAAAAAAGGGAAATCTGTGAAGTGAATCACGTCTCAGGATTCTACCACATTTCTTGTTGTTTACACTTTTTTAGCACCTTACATGTGAGTGACTGTACTATGTATAACCGGTGGACTCATCGTACTCGAAGAAGTTTCAAGGAAACATTCGTTGACACTATAAAAAAAAATACTGTACAACGCCTCAATGTCCTAAGGGTATGTCTAGCAACAACAAAGAGTATTTATTCGGCGAAAAAATTACAAAAAAATTTTGATCGTGAATATAAAATAGGCACGAAAAAGGCGTGTTATACGGCGATGAATTATGTGAATATGTGAAATGGGTTGGTACGACATGGTCATTGTTTTGCTCGTATGTGCAAGTTTTTTCAAATTGGCCTTTTGAAGCACAGGCTACACCTAGATTTTTATTCGACCTTCCAGGGACGTTTTTTTTTAAATATGTCGACCAGTAGATTGTAACTTGCTAAATTATGGAATGTAGACTTCATTATGTGTGCGAATAAATAACTGTCATACTTAAATTAAGGGATACGGATCTATTGACGGAATCTTGACCTCAAGTAGATACTTAACTTGTGCTAGATGGACATAACTAAGTACTCCAAATAATCCTTGACATTTAGGCCAAACTTTTCAAGGTGCGAAATTTATCTGATTCGAAACGCTGACATTTATCAATAGTAAGGGTTCAATCTAATCCGTCAACAAGAAAGAATGTGTAAAGTTCAAAACAATCTTGCGATGAGGACTCTTGGCATTTTGAAAAGTAACGAAATAAGTAATTTATTCGTGGAGATACAAGGGCAAACGGCATTCTTTGTTGAGTTCTGCACTTGCATTCATCTTCATTTGAAATCCTTCAGTGGCTGGATTGAGCAATGGAGAAGGGTTTCTCTGATTCCCATTTTTAAATTTATCTAATGTTTATCTGCAGTTTGGACGTCCAGGTTCTTCGCATCTGCGACCCAATCAGCCTCAAAACCTGTTCTGCAGATTGGGTGCCCTACCTTTTTCCACTTGCTATGTGGATTTGTTCTTATTAATGGCTCCAACCTTAAGAACCCTTGAAATTGCATGATAATTCGCCCTGTACGTATACCACACCCTGAATTGGCATTAGTTCTGCTCTCGTTTTAGTTTCTGTTGACAAGTCGATGAAATAATTCCAGCATTACCCTATCCATTCTTTCCATCATTGCGTCCTGTTTGTGCGTGAGCTATTGGGAGCCATTGAATTAATTTATATATCATAGAAGCAGATGCAGCATCGATTTCAAAACTGAGCAGTTGTACTTCTTATTGCACTAAAGAGGTCAGCATTTGTACGAATCAATGCGCACCCTATCACCAAATATAAAATGTAGCAGCCCCTAGATGCAAACACTTTTCGAAACTGCTGCTTGAAAGGAAGTGTTTTTGTCCATCGTAAGTAATGTATTTTCTGGATAGGAATAGAAACCACCCAAGAGCGATCAATTTTAAGGGAATATAATGCGTATGCGATGCGTATAAATTATATAGGTTCGCGCATAGAAAATAAAACAATTTTCTCGCTGTTACAAGAAAATTTCAATTTTGTATTCGAGCGAGTACGAAAACCAAAAGGGTAATTTCTGGTTTTCTTGAAAATGTAGGCATAAAAATGGCCTATACTTTAAGAAATTTAAATTAGGGGTATACGCGGATCTCTTAATAGAATGTTGACTTCAAATAGCAAAGTTCTGCCAGATGGAAATAACTACTCTAAATAAGCCTTGACATTTCAGAACAACATTTTTATTCGATTCGAAACACTCATCTCTATCACTATAGCAACGGTTCGCCCTAATTCGTTCCCGCCCCTTGCGACACCTGGGTTCATATGCATAAAGCATTGCAATTTTCTTCGTCTCTTCTTTCGTTGTAGCACATTTGAACCTAGTTTTGTACTTTACTTCCCAGGCTAGCTCAGATAGAAAAAATTAATCGTAATTGTAATTTGGAAATATACTAACTCAAACAATTATTAGAATATTCCGAAACTTAAACACTCCAGGATATTTGGAGGACATTATCCATCTTCTATATTGGCGTGTCTGTGAAATAGCTCTTTTTACTTCCCCTTGTAAAGAAGTTTAACACTGAAATCAAACAATTTTCTACGGGTCCTCTAAAAAGACAAAGAAAACTAATCCTAAATAAAATAAAAATATTCCTGCTGGGCGGATAACTACTGTATCTTGGAAATAGTACAGTCAAATTTTTACGAATAGCGGAAATAATTGAAAGAAAGCTGAAAATTGGTATAGAGGTACATTAGGGCTTGTATTCGAACATACTAAAAGTCGGGACCGAAACTCTTAGTGCTCGAGCCGCCATCTTGGAAAAAAGGTACTCCAAATCACTTTTTCGCTGATATTTCGGTAACCGTGCATTCTAGGAAGTCAAGTTTCATATAAAAAAAGAAAGATAATAACATTTTGTATAAAAAAGATGGTATGCACTTTTTTTGTATTTTCGTTATTTACGCCGATATTCCACATTGAATATAGAGCATAATCTTTTTTTCAGATGTAGGTGCATTACTTTCAGCGCTCGCGTGTTTTAAACATGAATATGTTAAAAAAATGGATCTAGCGGACATTTTAGGGCCTGTTAACCAGTGAAGAGAAGGGCAGTTTTATCTAAAATTAAACACTTACGACATATCGTACTGACTCAACAGATGCGTGTTTTGTATTTCTCGTTAATCCAATCACTGTTAATGTATGGAATTGTTGGCTGGGAGTATTTTATGCTAGTGAATCCTTATACAGTCTTATACAGGGTGGTGCCTAGCATGACGCAGCGCAGGGATTTCAATGGTAATTTCTTTATAGTCACCATACTAGCTCCCCTAATTATTTTACAGCAAAAGTCTAAAGAAGTTTTTGTTAGAGAAAAAAATACTGCATATGTTCATACTATTACTTATAATTTTCCGTTTTTCAAAATCCTAGAAATTCACAAAATAAAAAATTACATTTTTATAAATCAGTGATGATCTTTTAACAAACTACAAGCGCATCGCGTTATTGTTGTTTGACGTTCAAACGATTTTTATATTTAATTCTGTATTCTTGCACTGCTTGGAATTGGCCTATTGGGGTACTTACCACTAAATACACACGTTACTTGGCGGGCATTATTTCCAGCATAAAACAACTTTAACATTTCGATTTTCTCGTCAGTTAAATACATGATAAAACAATTTTATGATTAACTAATTTATAAACAAGTATAAATTTAATAAATGTCAAAGGCAAATAATGAAACGCGATCGCTGTTTTTTTAGGTAATTCCAAGGCATATCTGTTTTATTGAAAAATGAACCTTTTTATTTTGTTAATTTCTACGGTATTGAAAAACGGAAAATTATAAGTAATGTATTTTTTTCTATAAAAAAAAACGTATTTAGACCTTTGCTCAAAAATATATAGGGGAGCTAGTAATTGACAATAAAGAAATTACCATTGAAATCCCTATGCTGCGTCGCGCTAGGCACCACCCTGTATAAGGAATCAAATGTAATGAATTTACGCCAACCTTACTGTAACAAAATCCTCCAGTTCATAAAAACATCCAAAATTACTGGCCAACATGCACTCTCATTATACACACCAGGAAGACCATAATCTCGACCATAATATACTTTTTCCAAGGTCTGAAAAAACAATCTGTAAACGATGTGCTCACTGCTCAGTACATTGCTCCAAGGCTTTATTCCATTCTACCGCGCGAAATGGAAAACATATTATCTACCTATCCCGCTTTCACGAAACAAGTTTAGGTGTGGATACTGGAACAGCGCTATGTACTATTTAGCGAATTGTCAATGGAATTGTTTAGTTTAGTTTATTATTTTTAGTATTTTGTATGAAATGAAGTCAAGTTTGATTTATATTTTTTTTGTAAATGCCCCGTATCCATTACAAGTAGTACAACGAACAAACGACTTCGGATTTTGGCAATATTTATTTTTCTTAGTTTCCTCATGTAGGTATCTTTTGTATTCAGCTATATAGTAGAAAAATAAATATATTATTATTACTATTTCCTTCTCTTAGGTGGTCAACAGGCCTTAACAATGTCAGTCAATTTTTTAAACATATGTTTAAAGCACGCGAGCGCTGAAAGTAATGCACCTACATCTGAAAAAAAGATTATGCTCTATATTCAATGTGGAATATCGACGTAAATAACGAAAATACAAAAAAAGTGCATACCATCTTTTTTATACAAAATTTTAT